CTGCAACTTTCTGTGATGTCCGCACTGTTTCCCAGGTGCAGCATGTACTTTATCTTTTCATCTTCTTTTTCTATTTATTTGGTCCAAGCTCAGTCTGCAAGACCAGTTTTCCTTCCACTCTTCATTTTGCTTTCTTCAATAAACTTTACCACTGCTATAAATAAGTGAATAAGTAAATAAAAGCATTGGAGCCAGGAGTGGTGGTGCACGCCTATAATCCCAGTACTCAGGAGGCTGAGGCAGGAGGATCAATGTGAGTTTGAGACCAGCCTGGGCTACATAGTGAGCTCAAGGCCAGCCTGAACTGCATAGTGAGACCATGTTTATTTCTTTTTCTTTTTTGGTACTGGGAATCAAACCCAGGACATTGCGCTTGCCAGGCAGGTGTTGTGCCACTGAGCTACATTCCCTGCCCATGAGACCATATCTCAAAAAGACCAAAAAAAAAAAAAAAAAAAAAAAAAAAAAAGACAAAAAAATGGCGCAGTATTTGCATATAATTGCTGCATAACTGCTGGTCCTCCCTCCTTTCATTATATAGTTCAGCCTGGCTATGTAGCCTAGGCTGGCCTATAACTCAAGGTGATCCTCCTGCCTCAGCCTCCTGAGTGCTGGGATTACAGGCATGTGCCACCTTATCAGATTTTATTTATATATTTGTTGTTTTGAGACAGGGTCTCACTATGTAGTTCAGATTGGTTTTGAACTCACCATGTAGCTCAGGCTGGCCTTAAAGTTGCTGCAATCCTCCTGCTTCAGCCTCCTGAGTACTGGCCGAATACTTTAAACTCTTTCTAGATTACTATTAATACCTAATACAATGTAAGTGGCATATCAATAGTTGTTATAATTATTGTGTAGGGAAGAATGACAAAAAAATCTAAATTTATAACAAACAGTTTAATTTTCAAATATTGGTTGGTTGAAGCCAGAGATATGGAAAGCTGACTATAAACAGCTCTGTACGTGCTGTACCTTGTGTGGCAGAGGGATGGGGCACCTGGCTCCTGGGGACTCCCAGTGGGGATTCCTGGTGACCACTTGTTAGTAAAAGGAATCAGAACTTCTGCATTGATGCCTGTAATCCCAGCACTCCAGAGGGCAGGAGGATTGCCGGGAGTTTGAGGCTGGCCTGGGCTACATAGTGAATTAAAGGCCAGCCTGCAGTACATCGGGAGACCCTGTCACAAACCAACCAACCAACCAATATAAAGCAGCTCCAAATTACCCATGTGAGTCAGCAGCATAATACACTAATGGGAATAATATGAAACAGTATTCAAATGGTTAATTATTAATAAGTATTCAGATGATTAATAAGCCACTGTCTGGAATGAGACATCTCATTCTTTTTTTAAAAACGTTTTAATTTTTATTTTATTTTATTTATTTATTTTGGTTTTTTTGAGACAGAGTCTTGCTATGCAGTTCAGGTTGGCCTTGAGCTCACTTTGTAGCCCAGGCTGGCCTCGAACTCACAACGATCCTCCTGCCTCAGCCTCCCGGGTGCTGGGATTATAGGTATGCGCCACCACACCTGGTTTAAATTTTATTTTATTTGTTTTGGTACTGGGAATCAAACTCAGGACCTTGTGCTTGCCAAGCAGGCACTTATGCCATTGAGCTATACCCCCAGCCCTAAATTTTATTTTAAAGATAAAAGAACCAAAGCTGGGCGTGGTGGCGCACGCCTGTAATCCCAGCACTCGGGAGGCTGAGGAAGGAGGATCATTGCAAGTTTGAGACCAGCCTGGGCTACAAAGTGAGCTCAAGGCTGGCCTGAACTGTATAGCGAGACCCTGTCTCAAAAAAAAAAAAAAAAAAAAAGAACCAAGCTGTATTAACAAACACACAGACATAAATAGAACTACATAAAAACAATAAAAGCAATACAGAATCTCAGACGAGGTGATAGGAAATTAACAATGGTTGTATTACATATTGTTATCTTCAAACTGGTTACTCAGAAAAACAAAACATGAATGCAAGATTGATCAAACAAACATTAACTGTTTGTTTCACTAAAGCAATAGAAGTTAGTAGTACAATCACCTTAGCCATCTTGTGTGGGACAACTCATTCTGTCAGGAACTAAAGAACAAAACATTTGGTTTAGTTTTGTCCTTTTTTTCATTTTCTTTTTTTGTGTGTGGTTCTGGAGGTTGAACATGCTAGGCAAAAGCACACATTCTACATCTCACCAGCCCCTTTTTTTATTTAGAGGAAAAAAAAACCTTTAAAGCTGTATGCTGTTTAGAATAAGCAGAGGATAGCTGGGTGCAGTGGTGCACACCTGTAATCCCAGCACTCCAGAGGCTGAGGCAGGAGGATTACCACTTGAGGCCAGCTTGGGTTACATAGTAAGTTCAAGGCCAGCCTGAGCCACGTAGAAAGACCCTGTCTCCAGACTCTCCTCCCCCGAAAAAGGAAACAGGCATAGGAAATAACTACTTTCAAATGTGTGAGACCTTGCAGGGTGTGGGAGCATGCCTGTAATTGCAGGACTCAGGAGGCTGAGGCAGGAGGATTGCTGTGAGTTCCTGGCCAGCTTAAATTACATAGGGAGTTGAAGGTCAGCCTGAACTGCACAGCAAAACAAACTCAAACTAAAAAAAAAAGGGGGGCTGCTGCTTTTTGATTCTGCTGCCAGAAATTGGAGTCTGCGTTTTCTTGTGGTACTGGAGGTTGAACCCAGAGTCCCTGTGCTGACTCACATCACCAGCCCTTTCTATTTTTTTTTCCAACAGGGCCTCACTCAGTTGCCCAGGTTAACTTGCCACCCTTCTGCCTCAGCCTCCTGCGAAGCTGGGATTATAGGCTGTGCCTGATGCTCAGCTCAGCTCAGATGTTAAGAGGCACCACCCTGCCAGGGAAACTTCTGGAGGCTGCAGGCGAGGCAGATGCCTTTCACTCACGTCTTGCTGAGTTTCTGTGATGTGGAAAAAGCCAGGGGGCACAGATGGTACCAGTTGCAGCCCCCAGTTCGCAGGTAGCCTATGGGGAATTTCTGGGCTCCCAGGTGCCGCCACTGCACTGCCTGCTGTGCCGGGAGCAACCACGGTGGCTCGCACGTGCCGGCCACACGCCAGGCCAGGTGTGCGTTCCAGCCGGGCTCTAGCAGCCGTGCGCGCACAGCAGAGCAAGGGCAGCCTGGGCAAGGGGCCGCCTACTGTCACACTCCTCTCACATAAGGAGGGGCAGGCGCTCCGCAGGAAGCCAGTGGCCCGCTGGGGGCAGGCGCTCTGCCTGGGGCAGACATTCTGGACAAGAGCCCTGTGTCTCCAGGGCGTCCTTCTATTATTTCCTGTCACTCAGCCCAGGCAGTCTGCAGTCTCTCCCTCACTCTTCACTTATTAACTTTGTCAGTGCTTTAAAAAAAACCCAAAACTTCGGGCCCCATTTTTCAAACGCAGGCTGACAGCATCACCAACCCCAGGACTGTGACAATGATGATAGATCTATTTCAGTGTTCTGCACATGGAGGCCATGGAGGGATATGAGAGATGGCCAAGTCACGCCACGTTACAGAGCAGATGCGGAGGCGGCTGGCACTCAGTTCCCACAGTGTTCCCAGCTCTCCTGGGGCAGCGTACCAAGTTTGCTTTATTCATTGTTTCGTTTTGTTTTGTATTTTGAGACAGGGCCTTGCTATGCAGTGTACACTGGCCTTGAACTCACTACTCAACCAAGGCTGGCCTCAAACTCGAGGCACTCCTCCTGCCTCGGCCTCCTCAGTGCTGGGATTACAGGAGTGCACCACCACCCCTGGCTCCCCTGCTTTTTTTTTTTTTTTTTTTTTGAGAAAGGGTCATGCTATGTAGTTCAGGCTAGCTTTGAACTCACTATGTAGCCCAGACTGGCTTTGAACTTTCTGTGATCCTCATGCCTCAGCCTCCTGAATGCTGGGATTACAGGCCTGCGCCACCAGGCCTGGCTCCCTTGTTGATTTTTATGACAGACTACTGAACAGAAAAAAGTTTTGGAAGTCTCAAAATAATCTTTCTGAGAATACAGTCACCTGGAACAAACTCTACCAAGTCAGATACAACTTCTTCCCTCCAAGCCCACTTTTCCAACTAAACCAGGGGTCCAGAGTAAAGACACGCTGTTCGCCTTTAGAACTAATGCACCCCATGATGGGTAGAGGCCTCTCTCCCTTCTGACTTGCATCAGCAGCTCGGGGTGGTGTCTGGGGCTCTGCCCTGGACACACCATGAAGCAGGCCTGCGCAGAGTTGGCCCCGGGTGAATACACTCCCTCACTAGGACCTAGTCCACGGGACAGTGACGAGGAAAGGTTTATTTGGCTCGGACAGGTTCCAACCCATGATCAAATGGAACAAAACTGCTCACCTCATGGGTTAGGAAGCAAAGTGAGAGAAAAAGGAATAAGAGCCGCACAATCTTCACTCCATCTCTTCAATCAGTGGTGGCCAATCTATGGTATGTGTGCCGCAGCGGGCTGGCATATGATCCAACTTGCCCCAGCAGCCGGCCATCGGATATTTAGGTTTCACTGCAGGGTCTGGAGTTGCAGTTTGGGCCCTTGGTCCCTAAAAGGCTCGCCACCACTGATCTAAAGGTGACAGAAGCACCTCCAACAGCTCCACCCCAAGGACCAAGCCTTCAACACACAGTCTCTGGGGACAGTTACCAACCAAACTACGGCACCCGGGCAGGGTTTGGAGACTGGTGTTTAGATGCCACGGTGTCTGCCCAGGGGCACATTTCATTCTCAGTTGTTTCTAAGTGTGAGCTCCTGCTAGAATGGGTCACTGAACTCGTCCCCGCCTTGAGCAGGGAGGGGAGCCAGGCGAAACGGCTCCCATGTGAAGTCACAGCTCAGCACAGCACTTACGAATTTACTCTTCTACTGAGCATTTCCAGTGGTTTTTATTTTATTTTCTTTTTTGTCTTTTTGAGACAGGGTCTCACTATGCAGTTCAAGCTGGCCTTGAGCTCGCTTTGTAGCCCAGGATGGCCTTGTACTCACAATGATCCTCCTGCCTCAGCCTCCCGACTGCTGGGATTACAGGCATGTGTGCCACCATACCTGGCTTGTCCTCCCCCCCATTTTTTTATTATACACTCAATTCTAGTGAATACTGGATTTGTTTCTAGTCTCTTTCTGGTCCATCCGTCCATTCCCCGTCCCGCACTGCAGGACTGCACACCTATCTTCTCATCTTCTCCAAGGCTGCTTTTTGGGGGGTACAGAGCTGGCAAGGACCCGAAGGACAGCAGTGTCCCAGTCAGTCAGTCTTCGTCCGAGTCACTGGGGCCCATGTACTGGCAGACGGCGTCATAGTGAAGTTCCACCAACTGATTCTCTCTCTGCAGCTGCACCAAAGCTCGGCTCCGGGCTCTGTCTTGGCTCAGCAGATGGCCCACCTGGAGCAAGGGTGCGAGAGTCAGCCAGGCCAGCCCAGACCTTGGGACACTGCATGAGTGATCCCCAGGCCTCCATTTCCAGAAGCGAGACTCACCCTTCCAGCCTGTGGCCCCAGCACCACCATCACGCGATTGCCCTCAACCTTGGGAACCAGGGTCTCCAGCATGTCTTCCCGCAGGCCTGCGGGAAGGGGGAGGAGTGAGGCCTGCGGCCAAGCAGCCCCCTCAGAGCCCGTGGCAAGCGCCTCTGCTGTATTTCCTAGCGCTGTATCACACTGGTGACAGATGGAGTCTGCAGACTTCCCAGGCGCAGAGGCCTTGGACACAGTTCATAGAAGGAACAGCAATACAGAGAGCGCAGCTATGGTGGGGGCGAGGGGAGTGTTTGCTGCGGCCTGCCCTGCCCTGGGAGCTCCTTATGTGCTCAGCAAGGGGCCAGTAACTGCGGGGAGAAGTTACATCCATGCCAGTCTGACGGGCGTGGTCACGTGCATGGAAATGCCTGACCTTTTGCGAGGGTGTGAGCCTTGCAGAGAACCTCAACCTGCCCAACCTCCCGGCCTTGCCCGGGCCAGGCTCCCAGCCTCGGACGCTCTTCTCCATCAGCTGGCAGCACGGCTCATGCTCACCTTCCAGGACTCGGCCTCCATCGGTCCGGCACACGCACGTATCTGGGCTCGGGACATCTTCAATCGTCATCTGGAGGTCAGAGGAGGGGCACGTGAGACATCAGAGAACCAGGGCCCAGTGCCCGGGCGAGGCAGGCACCCGAGGCTGAGGTCCGCACCTTGGTGTTGTAATACCGGCCGCCCTTGTGGAGCTTGTCCACGAAGCGCACACGCAGGTCCCTGTGCAGCCAGTGCTGGCTCCTGCTGGCTTTTTTACTCTTGGCCAAAAGCCCATTCTGTCTGCGGAAAGGCATCAACCCACGCTTAGCACTGCAGCATGCGCGTGTTCTGGCCATCCTGCCTTTGCCTGTGCGGTGAGATCCACTCAGGTCTGTTCCTACCCCTTGCCCTGGGAGCCTCCCTATGCCCCTGCCTTCTTGCCCTCCTACACGCCCAGGGTCCTACCGGGCCAGAGGGTGCTTCCGCTTCTTCTCCAAGTCCCCCTGCCGGCCTCGGAGGTCTTCACTCTGGAGGGCCTCCCATGACAAGGACGTTCCATTGTGCTGCTCCGAGGAAGTCCTGCTTGCCTGGCCTGCTCCGTCGTGCAGGCAGAGCAGGGGAAGAGCCCCAGTGTCTCGCTGCCCCTGCTTGCCAAGGCTGTAGCCTGGCCCAGCCCATCTCCCACCTGCCAATGCACCGCTTCTCATCTTTTCACCTTTGCCAGGGCTACGAGACACCTCTCCCCTTACTCTCCATTGCTCTGGGCCCCGTCTGGACACTTTCCCCAGCCACCTAGCCTCCTGTGCAGGACAAAGCCTGGAGAGCTCCGCGCCCACCCGCCCAACGTCCTTCCTACTGCCACGCCTTCGCTGAGCTCCGCTGCACTCACCCCTCGGGCCTTACTCCCTTGAAAAAGGCAGGCTACCACCTCAGAGACAGGTACCCTCTGAGGGCATCACCTGTTCTCCACAGCCAAGTCTTCCTCTTAGAGAGAGGCTAAAGACCAAGGGTATATGTAGGTCAGCCTGTCTTCAATCAAGCTGAAGAAGCTGGGCCGCGGGTGCTTGGCGGCAGAGCGCCCCCTGGCGTGTGCAAGGCCCTGCCTGTCACCCTCAGCACTGCCAGCCAGCCAGAAACCTGAGAAAGGACTCATGGCCTTTCTTCTCCCATGGCCCTTCTTACCTCCTGACCTCTGGCCGCAATCACACTTGCCAGCAGCCCCTCGCCCCTGCCCCTGCCCCTGCCCCTGCCGACGGAAAACCCATCTGAGACAGCCCCCCCACGCTTCTCCAAGCTACATAAGGGGCTCACTCACCAGGATGCAAGGCGTTCTTGTCAAACTCCTGCTGGGACACAGGTCGCAGACAGTACTCGCTAACAGTCACCATGCGACTGCCCACTGCTAGACGAACCATGGCTCGCACGTTGTCAGGATCAAGGCCCTCCACCTAAGCGGGGAAGGGGACATCAGGCAGGGGTTGAGAGGGCTCCACCTCATTTCTAGGACCAAGATGTTCACCCCTTACCTCCAACAGGGTTGACTCCTGTGCATCTCTCCAATCAGACTGTGACCCCTCATGGCTTAGACTAGGCCTGGTTCCTGTCTCCTCTAATAAACTGTGACCTCTAAAAAGTGGGGCCTGGTCTAGTTCCCGTGTCTCCCACACTAGACTATGGGGCTCAGAACCCTTTGCGCATGCACACATGTATTTATTTTGCTTTTTGAGACAGGATCTCACTATATTGTTCAGGCTGGCCTTAAACTTGTGGCACTCCTCCTGCCTCAGCTTACGGAACGCCTTTGAGCATTTAATCCGCAGGTACCTGGTAGCATATGGTATGCTCCCCCTTTTGGTTGGGAACTGGGACTCAGACAGACCCAGGCAGTAGTCTTCGGTTACCTAGTGAGGCAGTGGGCCAGGCAGGTCTGAGAGGCAAGGACTTGCAGCCTTTCCAACCCAATTCTTCCTCTCTCTGGTCCTCAAATCAATCTTCCCATTGTCTATTTGGGGCTCTGGGGATATCTTTTTTGCAGTGCTAGGGAGGGAACCAGAGTTGCATGCATGCTACACAAGAGCTCTACCCCTAAGCTATATCCCCAGCTCTCCAGGGACATCTTGTTTTAGTGTATGTGCTGCCGAAGCGAGCACTCCAGGGACATCTTGGTTCCTTACCTTCCCGTAGAGGCCTCGATGAGGGCCAGAAAGGACCATCACAGCTCCTCCAGGCACCAGCCCTTGCGGCTGGTCTTCCTTACCCTTCCCTTGTTCTCCATCTGGCGTTGGGGGGCAGTAGGAGCCACTGGAGGCCAAGGCTTGGGCCTCGGTCAGGTTGGCACCAAGCCCTAGTCCCTTGGGCCTCAGCGAGTTCACACGGGGCTTCACCACTCTGCAGAGAGGAACACAGGCTTGCAGGGAGCACACAGTCTCCAGTGTCTCATCCTTCCCCATGCTCCAAACCCACCCATCAGTATTCTCAAGGAGGCCCCTTCCAATCTCACACCAGGATTTTTTTTTTTGCAGTCCTGGGGATGGAACCTAGGGCCTTGCACATGGTAGGCAAGTGCTCTACCATTGAGCTACACGTCCAGCACCCAGAGTGCCAGTCTCATTTGGTTCAACCTAGTAACAAGCTGCATATACCATCTAGCCACAGTATCTACAGTGGGGTCGGAATGAGTTCTCTATAACCGAATAGTACGTTAATATGTCTACAGGAAAAATCATATGAATGTAGAAGAAAAATATTATACACCTTTTTTTTTTGGAGACAAGGTCTCACTATGTAGTTCAGGCTGCCCTTAAACTTGTGGTGGTGGTCATCCTGCCTCAGCCTTGCAAGTGCTGGGATTACAGACACACACCACCATGCCCAGCAAGATTAATATATATATATATATACACACACATTTTTGTACTAGGAATCAAACTCAGGACCTCGCGCTTGCCAGGCAGGCATTGTGCCACTGAGCTATATCCCTGGCCAAGATTATAGAATTCTTAACGCCAACTTTAGTTATATGTGGCTGCCAAATGATTTATGGAAAAAAAAAGTTTTGTTTTCAGACTCTCTGGAGTTTGCAATTGCAATTGGGATTATAAATCTGTGTGACAGCTGGGCATGTTTGCACACTTGTAATCCCAGCACTGGGGAGGCTGAGGCAGGAGGATCACAAGTTCGAGCCCAGCCTGGGCTACACAGTGAGTGCAAGGCCAGCCTGAACTACAAGGTGAGACCCTGGCCCAACACAAACAAAGTCTGTGTGAAAATAATAAATATTTAGTTTATGTTTACTGTGTACGCTTCATGAATATAATTTTATTTAACTCTTGCAACAGACCTGTTAAGTCAGCACTTCCTTTTACCTTTTTTTTCCTGGACATAGCATCTCCCTATGCAGTGCAGGCTGGCCTTGAACTCACGGGATCCTCCTGCCTCAGCCTCCCTAGTGCTGTGATTACAGGCATGTGCCACCATGCCCAGCAAAGTCAGCAATGTTACCCCATTTTTCAGATATGGAAATTGATATCCAGTGAGGCAAACTTTACATAAATGGGATCCATGAAAGGAAACAGGAGTCTGCAACCATAGTAGAAGAGACTACCCAACTGGTTAGGGTGATAATGCACACACCCCCAACCCCAGCCCTTTGCCGGCATAGTTCTTGATTGGTGGTGACCACAGGGGTCTTAGTCACAGCCCATCTGTCTACCCAGTACCCTTGCCCCCAGAACTTACTGATTGAAAGTGCGGCCAATGCCCTCACCAGGTTTCCAGCCCATGCCCCGCAACATGGCCAGCCCGTAGGCCTCCACAGGGACAGCTTCGTAATCAGCCTCCTCCGGCACCTACAGGGTTCAGGCAGACGAAGGAGGGTCAGGCCTTGCTGACTCCTGGCTCTCTATCAGAAGTACATCCGCTATCACCCAGGGGGTGACCCTCTATCCTTCTGGCCCTCGGCTCAAGGGCAAGCTCTGATTTCCTCTCACCATGCCTGATTTTACTCCACCTTGAGTCCTTCAGCAAATAGTTATAGAGCACTTGTTCTGTGGAAGTACGGTTCTAGGGGCTGAGGATAAAGCAGTGAACAAAAGACAAAACCTTTGCCTGTTTGAGGCTAAGTTCAAATTAAGACACAAATAAAATCAAATTCTGAAAACGTGATACAACAGGTGGTGATAAATGTAGTGGCGCATGCCTGTAATCCCAGCACTCAGGAGGCTGAGGCAGGAGGATTGCTCAGAGTTCAAGGCCAATCTGGGCTACATAGGGAGTTCAAGGCCAGCCTGGGCAACTCAGCAAGACCTCATCACAAAAAGGGGGTGTGGGGGTTGCTGGGAATGTACCTCAATGTGAAGGCCCTGTGTTCAATCCTGAGTACCATTTAAAAAAGAGAAGAAAAATAAAGCTAGGCATGGTGGTGTACACCTACAGTACCAGCTACTGGGGAGGCTGAGGCAGGAGGATCACATAAGCCCTGGAGGTGGAGGCCAACCTGGGCTACACAGTGAGCTCAAGGCCAGTCTGAGCTACAGAGCAAGACCCTGTCTCAAACAAACAAAACAAAAAACACTACCGAACACCAAAAAATAAAAATAGAAAAATAAAAAATAAGTAAAATTGGCCCAAGCAACTCAGTATATAAAAGCCCTGGGTTCAAGCCTCAGTACAAAAAAAAGAAAAAGAGACAGAGACAGAGAGAGACAGAGAGAGAGAGAGAAAGACAGAAAGAGAGAGAGAGAGAGATGAAGCCCTGAAGGGACACTGCAAAATATTTATGAAAAGGTGAAAAGTTGAGTCAGTTGGTTTGAAAGACAGACTTTGGTCACCTGCCTGGACACACCTCTCATCTCTCGTGCTGTCACCTCCCAGGACCATCCCTTCAGTCACTTATGATCTCACCAGACACACGCGGGGACCTGCTGTCCTGTGCGGGGACCTGCTGTCCTGGTGCCGCGGCCTGGCTCTCGCTGGCAGTCGCGCTCACTGCGCTCCTCCCTCTCACTGACCTCCGTCTGCTCCGACCACTCTCACCTCAGCTGCGCCCTTTCTAGCCAGGACTGCCGGTCCCCTGGCTTCCACCCTTGCTTCCTCGTCCGCTCTGCTCATGCAGCCCAGAGATCCCCTTAAATCCTAAGTCACAGCGCTTCCCTGCTCAGGGCCAGCCCGGCTCTCAGCTCATGAAAGAGTAAAGGCCAGAGTGCTCACCGTGGCCCGCAGCCCCTCTGCCTTCACGTACTGGCTCGCCCGCCCACTCACTCCTCTCACTCCAGCCACTGTGCTCTCCTCCGTGCTCCTCAAGCACTCCAGGCCCCAAACACGAGTCAATAAAAAGAAAGGAAGGAAGGGAAAGAAAAGGAGGAAGGAAAGGAAAGACAAAGCACCAAAAACCACTCCAGGCAGCGTGGACCCTTATGTGCTCTGCACTTCCTTGTTCCCTTTGCTTTTCAACTCATTCAGATTGTCTGGGGATTCCAGCACTTTCTCCACATGCTGGGTATCTAGTGATTGACGCTTCGGCACAGGAGGGCAGGGGAGAGGGCCCGCGGCCTCCCAGACGCAGCCTTGCCCCACAGGCTGGTACAGGAGGGAGGCAAGGGGGCAGCTCACCGTCTCGGCCCGCGGCGCGCTGCCCGCCCCCTCCTCGTCGGGGGCGCAGCCCTTCTGGATCACGGGGATAGCGAGCGTGGGGTCAGCACCCGGGCTCGCTCTCTCCTCCAGAGACTTCTTGGATTCTGAGGAAGAGCAGGAGGGAGCCATGAGGTCCCACGCGGCGCTTTCACATCTCTCCCCGTCTGCCTCCCCGGGGCGGGGCAAAGCCGGGGTCACGTACCCTCAATGAGCTCCTTCACCGCCTGGGACAGCACCCCGTCCCCCAAAGCCTCTGTGGGCTGCACAGGCATCTGGGCCCAGGGCTGCCTTCGAAAGCCATTCCTGATCAACGGGATGACCAGTTCCTTAGGGGCTTCCAGGGGCTTCGCACTGATGGGGACACAGAAGCACGAAGTTGGGGAGGAAGGGGAGCAGGGGTCACGGGCTCCGAGCCGCACTCACGAGTCCGCTGCGCTGCCTGGGCTTCCCGTTCCGCCTCTGACGGTGCGTTCTTCACCTTCTTTCCCGCACACCCCCCCCCTTCCAGCCAGCGTCTCCCAGCAAGCGTTCCCGGAGCCTCGCGCACACCGGCTCCGGTCCCCACGTCCCGCCGCCGCGGAGCCCAGGCCTCCCGGGGCTGCGTCTGTCCCGGAGGTGGCCCCGCGGGCGCCGGCCCCCGTCTCCCTCCACCTGAACGCGACACTGCGGCCCGCGCCCCGCCGCAGAGACGCCGCATCGCTTCACATGAAACCCGAGGGATCCCGTCATTCCCTCCTTGTCTCGGAAGGCGAATGCCTCCGTGTCCTGAACTCTTACATCCTCTCTCCCCAATCCCCACAGCTACCGGGCCCACTTTCCCCGCTCCACCTACAAACGCCCGCCTTCTGGCCTCCATAAGCCTGCCCAAGCTGTTGCAGGCTCTCCAGGTCACCGTCAACAACACAACCCGACTCCACCCTCCCGCCGGGGCCCGGCACGCTGAACTCCAACGCGCGGAAGACCTGACGCTTCACCTCAGCAGCTCCCTTCCTTCCACGGTCTTCAAGAAATCCTTCTCCTCTGGGGCCGACCCCGGGCCGTCTCCCGTGGCCGCCAGCAGCCTCCGGGCAGAGGTGCGAGCGAAGCCGAATGAAACTGGGGCTGCAAAAGGGGCAGCGGGCTCCAAAACCTCCTCCTCGCCGTCCGCCATCTCGCCTCCGGTCCCAGGCTGGCGCGCTGCCTGCTGGGAAGTTTAGTTTGCACGCTGGTCGCTAGGAGGCAGCGGAGGAGCGGAAGGACTACTTTGCCCATAAGACACTGCTGAATAGTCATATGGAGAGCGACAAGGGACCGTGGGAACAGGGGTCCTCCTTTTAAATACGTAGATCCGTCGCACCACGCATTCTGGGAAATATGGTGCTCTCTCTCTCTCTCTGTTTCTCTCTCTCTCTCTTTCTCTTGGCAGTTCAGGTGGGCCTTGAACTCACTATGTAACCGAAAGTGGCCTCCAACTCGCGGCGATCCTCCTGCCTCAGCCTCCCCAATGCTAAGATTACAGGCGTGCACCACCATGTCCAGCGACATACGTCTTTTTGTGGTACAGTACTGGGGATCCTCCTGTAGCCTCCTGAGTAGCAGGGATTACAGATGTGCACTACCACCTCCGGCTGGGAAATGTAGTTCCTCAGGTACTTAGTCTAGGTGGAAGGTCTATTCATTCTTCCCAGGTACTTATTCCTTTGTGTTCTTGTCAATATTTATTGAGCACCTACTCTGTACAATGGCAGAAGGATCTCTGCAAGTTCAAGGCCAGCTTGGGCGACATAGTGACTTATGTGATGGAGACCACTATGAAGTAGCTCTGAGCAGGATGTAATATTAACCGATTGGCTCTTCATGTTTACGTGTGAGTTTGCCTGAGGCCTAGGCCCTTGTCCAGAAATGGGCTGCTGACTCATAGTAAGTGAACCTCTATGAGTCACTGGTCCCCACTGAGGCCTGTATTGGCCTGTGAAGTTGGGTCGCCTCAAAGAACAAGACAAGGCCACAGCTGAGGACTTTTGGCTCCAACCCCAGTTACTTACAGGAGACCTTAGCTGCAGGCACATCACTCCTACAGTGAAGGCCTTCCTGAAGATAACATAGTTTTCCTAAATTAGCATAATATATTACCTGGAGAAGTCTTTAAAGGGCTTCCTAAGTCCTGCCCAGATTCCTGCATTTTCTTCAGTATCCCCCTCCTTTGTTTGAAAACCAAATAAATATACCCCGCCCAGGTAAGTTCTTTGGCTTAACCCAGAGAATCTCCAATTCCGTAATAGGGTTGGACCCTTCTAGAGCCCTAAAATCATTTCAGTTGTCTCATTTATTTAAGCCTTCCCTGTCCACTTGTTTGGGAGACTGTGGTCCTGATCAGCCCACAGTAACTAAGGGCTATTAATGCGATATTCGAGGCCAGCCTGAACTGCATAGTGAGACGTCTGAAAATCAATCAATCAATCAGCAATGGAGTACTACTCTGCTATTAAGAAAGATTAAAAAAAAATTTTTTAAGACAGGGTCTTCCTATGTAGTTCAGGCTGGCCTTGAAGTCACTATGTAGCCCAGGCTGGCCTTGAACACACAGTGACCCTCCTGCTTCAGCCTCCTGAGTGCTGCATTGCAGGCACCACCACTTTTTTAGGAAAATGGATGTACCTTGAGACCATAATTTTAAGTGAAATAAATCAGACACACAAGCTTAACTATTGCATGGTTTCTCTTCTATGAGAAACCAACATATAAATAAATAAAGACCAAAAGTAAAAGATAGACATTAGGGAACAGGGAGACAGATCTTTTGCAAATGGAAGAGGACCAAGAGATGGAGGGAGGGGGAACAGGAGGGAGGGGGAGGGGAAGTTAAGGAATTAAGGTGTGTTATGTACATGTACCAACGCCCTAAGGTGAATGTGCAGGAGAGATACTTAAACAGTCAAGAGTAAGAATACCATAATTCTGCTACAGACTCATCCCAAGGAAAATTGTGCAATGATTTTTATAAAGATTCATCATTGTATTATTTATCGTGCCAAAAGCTTGAATACTTTTTTTTGTATTTTTTTTTTTTTAATTTTTGTCTTTTTGAGACAGGGTCTCGCTATGCAGTTCAGGCTGGCCTTGAGCTCACTTTGTAGCCCAGGCTGGGCTCGAACTCGCAACGATCCTCCTGCCTCAGCCTCCCGAGTGCTGGGATTACACCCGTGCCACTACACCCAGCTTGAATACTTGTTTTGAGACAGGGTCTCGCTGTGCAGTTCAGGCTGGCCTCGAACTTATGACCAGTCCTCCTGCTTCAGCCTCCCAAGTGCTGGGATCACAGGTATGTGCCATCATGCCCAGCTTGAATACTTCTTAAATGATTAACAGAAGGGGATGGGATAAATTAATTTTAACTGCACACACCTTGGATGGAAGGAATATGCTAGAGCCTTTAAATGTGAAGCTTAAGCAAGATTAAATCAAATGGGGACATAGTCACAATGTTCTGGAAAGTAGAATAGTTGGTCTTTGGAACAGACAGCTCACTATTTGATCAATCTCAGGGTCTTGTTTCCTGTGGTTGGAGATGGGTCCTGGAATCTTAATTGTGAAGCCACTGTGATTTTCAATATATAATGACAAAATTTTAAAGTTTTTATTTAGAAATAACTTTAGACTTAAGCATTGTAGAAATAGTATGCATTATTTCTATATATACCCTTTTTGCTGTTACAGGGGATCAAAGCCTGCCCTGACCTACATCCCCAGTGCTTTTTAAATTTTGAGGCAGGGCTTCACTAAATTTCCCAGGCTGGGCTCAAACTTTTGATCCTCTTACTTCAGCCTCTCCGAGTCCTTGGATTACAAGTGTGTGTCACTGTGTCTGGCTCCCTTAAAAATTTTATATAACAATGGAATAAGTATCAAGCCGAGGAAATGAACATTGGTACAATATTGTTAACTAAAGTATAGACCATTTTCCCTTCCAGGATTCAATATCGGCTCTGCAATGTAATTATAGGTCTACTTTGTCTTCTACAGTCTGTGACAGTTATTCGGTCTTTCTCTGGCTTTCATGACCTTTAACACTTTTGGAAAGTTCAGTTCTGTTATTTTGAATAATATCCCTCAAGGGCCAGCTCAGCGGCACAAGCACCTGCCTGGCAAGCGCAAGGTCCTGAGTTTGATTCCCAATACCAAAAAAAAATACTCTACATGAATAATACCCTCAATCTTGGGTGTCCATTGATCTGTGTGTGTGTGTTTCGTTTGTTTCGTTTTTTTGAGAAAGTATTTTGCTGTGTAGTTCAGACCTGTCCTTGAACTCACAACGTAGCCCACACTGGTCTCGAATTTGCAGTGATCCTCCTGCCTCAGCCTCCTGAGTGTTGGGATTACAGGTTTGTGCCAGCAGACCTGGCTTTTTTTTTTCCTTTTGAGACAGGGTCTTACTAGGTATTCCAGGCTGGTTTTGAACTGACTATGTAGTGCAGGCTGCCCTTGAACTCATGATAATCTTCCTCCTTCAGCCTCCTGAGTACTGGGATTACAGGCATGAACCACCACACCTGGCTGGTTTCTCTTAATTAGAATGAGGTTTTGAGCTTTTAGCATGAATGTCACAGAGATGACCTAACCACATTAAGTGTTCATAATTGTGATATGTCTTAAACTTTCATATATATATTTATTATTATTATTATTATTATTATTATTTTGTGCTCAGGATTGAACCCAGAGCTTAGGCATGCTAGAAATGTACTCTACCACTAAGTTACACTAGCAGCACTGCTTTTGACTTAGCTTTTATTTTTCCTTAAGAGACAAGGTCCAGTTGGGTGTGGTGTGCACCTCTAATCCCAGCACTTTGGGAGGCTGAGGTAGAAGGATGGAGAGATTGAGACCTGCACAATTAGAGCTTTAGTGAGATCATCTCCAATGATAAAGGGCTTGAGATATGGCTCAGTGATGGAGACCACTGTGAAGCAGCCCTGAGCAGGACTTAAATTTATCAATTGCCTTTTCATGTTCACTTGTGAATCTGTCCAAGGCCTAGGCTCCTTGTCTGGAGAAGGGCAGTGAACTCATACTAAGTGAACTTCTGGGGGCTGGGGATTTAGCTCAGCAGCAAAGCGCCTGCCTGGCAAGCGCAAGTTCGTGAGTTCAGTTCCTGGTACCGGAGAAAAACCACAAAACCAAAAAAAAAAAAAGTGAACTTCTGTGAGTCACTAATCCCTACTAGAACCTGTAATGGGAGATGAAGCTGGAAAACCTCAAAGGATAAAACAAGGTCACAGCCAAGGACACCTGGATCTGATCTCAATTAGATAAAGACTATAACCTCAGGCATCTCACTCCTGGGTGAATTAATTTAATCCTTATTAAGGATTAGCTTAACACTTTACTTGGAGAAGTCCTTGAGTAATTCTGCCCTTTTTGAGTACTCCCCTCCCTTCTTCTGATAACCAAATACGGGCCACCCAGAGAAGGTCTTGATCTTAGCCCTGAGAGAATCTCAAATACTGTGAGAGGGCTTTGATCCTCCTGGAGCCCTGAAATCATTCCATTTGCCTCTTTATTTAGCATTTGCCATACACTTGTTCGGGAGGACCTGATCAGCCCAAAATAACTAAGGGATATTATTAACCCAATAGCTCAGGATGAAGGGACTGTGTTCAGTCCTAGTACAGTACTGTAAGATGAATGAATGAATGATAGAACGAACAGTGGGCATGGGAGAGACATGGGTTCCGCTGTGTTGCCTTAGCTGGGCTCAAGGATCCTCCTGCAGCAGCTGCTCCAGTAGCAGCATGGGGATTAGGTGTGAGCAGTTTTCAATCCATTTTCCAGATGAGGAAGCTGTGGCTCAGGGAGGCTGACTTGGTGAAGGGCTCAAATAATAACTACTAGAGAGCATGTCTAGAGTTATAATGGAGAAAATGGACATTTTCATACCGAATGATAGGGGCACAGAGTGATTCAACTTTTATTAGGGGCAGTATAATCATATGTGTACCTTTCCTGATGCAAGGATTCTACTCCTAACAATGGCTCTAAGGGAAAGAATGGACATTTTAGATTTTTTCTAGTGCTGGGCATGGAAGCCAAGGCCTTACACAAACAAGGCAAGTGTTCTACTATTGAGCTACAGTCCCAGCCATTATGCAGGATAGTTGTTCAAGAATATTTAGTCTAGCTGGGCATGATGGTGCACACCTGTAATCCCAGC